AGATCTTGTACGATGTGCTTAGAGCATGTGTTATTGACTTTGGAGGATAGTGGGATCAGTTATTTCCTTTGGCAGAGTTTGCTTACAACAACAGTTACCAGTCCAGCATCGAGATGTCTCTATTTGAGGCTTTATATGGGCGGCGATGTCGTTCTCCTATTGGGTGGTTTGAGCCTGGTAAGGCTAAGTTGTACAACACAGACTTGGTGAAAGATGCCTTGGACAAGGTAAAGTTGATTCAAGATAGGCTTCACATAGCTCAGTCCAGGCAGATGAGTTACGCGAATCAGAAGGCGCGTGATGTATCATTTATGGTTGGCGAGAAGGTCCTCTTGAAAGTCTCGCCATTGAAGGGCGTTATGAGGTTCGGGAAGAAGGGCAAGCTGAGCCCAAGGTTTAGTGGGCCATTTGAGGTGTTTAGGTGAGTTGGGGAGGTTGCTTACGAGCTTGATTTACCCCCCCCCCCAGTTTATCGGGAGTTCATCCAGTATTCCACGTGTCCATGCTTCGGAGGTATTATGCCGACCTTTCCCATGCGTTAGACTTCAGTACTATTCCGCTGGATGAGAGTTTGGGTTGTGAGGAGGAGCTATTTGCCATTGTTGATAGGCATGATTGCTAGTTAAGATCCAAGAGGACTTCAGCGGTGAAGGTCCAGTGGAGGGGCCAACCAGTCGAGGAGGCGACTTGGGAGTCCGAGGAGGACATGCGGAGCAGATATCCACACTTATTCGGCACCTCAGGTACTTTTCTATGTTCGTTCGAGGATGAACGTTTGTTTAAGAGGTGGAGAATGTAACGACCCAATTGGTCATTTTGCTTTTAGAACCCCATTCCCCTAAATAAAACTTCTCGCGCTTGATTTAACTAATTTACGACCTGCGGGGATGGTTGGTTTGGGATTTGGAAGAGTTTGGGTTGAAATAAGCTCATTGGATTCCTTAAGATTTTCCTAAAGGGCTAAGTTGACTTTGGTCAACATTTCTAGCAAACGGACCCAGATTTGTGATATGACAGTCCCGGGGGTTCCGTAGAAAAATATGGGACCTGGGCGTATGCCCGGAATCCAATTCTGAGGTCCCTAGCCTGCGTAATCAATTTCTTATTAAAAATTGTTAAACTGAAATTCTAAGGATTTAAAGAAACTAATTAATGATTGATCATGTTTGTATCACACTCGTATGTTGGTTCTAGAGCCCAATACAGGTCCAATATTACATTCAAGACTTGCCCGCAAAATTTGGTGTCAATCCGAGCAGTATAAGTACATTTCGGCACGTTAGAAGTGAATTGAAGAACTTGAAGTTCATAAGTTTGATTCAATTGGTTTTAGGGGGTGATTCTTAGATTTAGCATTGTATCAGGCGTTCCGAAGGTACGAGCGAATCTATTTCATGATTTCAGACATGTCGATATGTTCGGGCGGGGCTCGGGGACCCCGAGCGACAATCGGGCAAGGCTTGAGTAAAGTTGGAAATTTTGGGAAGGAGCTGAAGTTCCAGCTATCTATCATAACCGCACCTGCGGTTGGTTAGCCGCATGTGTTATACCGCAACCACTCGCAGATGTGGCCAAGCCAGGCCAGGCCCAAAGCCGTAGAAGCGGTTATTTTTCCGCAAAAGCGGAGCTGCAAATGCGGCTTGCCTCTCGCAGATGCGATCCAGCGGCCCAGTAGAGATTCTGCAGAAGCGGGCTCATTTCGATAGATGCGGTGGGCGTAGGTGCGGCCCAGGACCACAGATAGAGAAACCACTGAAGCAGTGAGCTTCATTTAATACGGGCTCCAACCATTTTTGTCCATTTTGCACTCGTGTATTGGGCGATTTTGGAGCTCTTGAGAGAAGATTTCCACATAGCATCTTGAAGTAAGTTCATCCCTTTATTTCTATGTTTAATACTCGAGTTTTGGGTAGATTAACACCTAAAGATTAGAAAAATTCAAAGGGTTAGAGCAAAACCTAGGGTTTTGATAAAACATAGATTTTACCACGAAATTGGTTATGAAACGAAGTAGAAATCATATATTATTGATCCTTAGGTTACAAAGAACAACTTTCTTCGAAAAATTTCGGAATCCGGGCATGTGGGCCCGCGGTCGAATTTAAGGAAACTTGTGTTTAGGGTTGGAAAATTACTTTAGTAATTAAAATGCGTACTCTTGAGCTTGTATTGACTAGTTCCTACCTCTTTAACTAGTTTTGGATCATTCGGCTCCATATTGAGAGTTTGGGCTCGTTCTTGGTGTTGGAAGTACACTTTGGAGCAAGGAGAGTCACCTTTCTAACCTTGCAAGAGGGAATTGTCCTCATAGGAGTAATAATTGTACTAAATGCTGGAGCTATGTACGCACTAGGTGACGAGAGTCCCTGCGTAGCTACTATTATTTTAATTGTCCAGGTAGTTTTTGACCTGTATCATGCTATATTTGCAAATGTTTATATGTCTTCTTGCCAATGTGATCATTTTGGATATGCTAGAGAATTGGGAATGAACATAAGTGAACATATGTAATGTTGAGCACTTGTATGAATTATTTGAATATAAATGCGCCTTCATGTATTTCCTGATGATAATAGATATTTGTGGATCGGGCCGATCGCCTCGGTAGAAATAGATGCATCTATGGTTCGCGCCATTCGACCCTCTGGCAGTGCACAATTTATTTTCTGTTCAATTGGGCCGTCGTCCTCGGCATAATGTGCGCATGATATCTATGTGAATTATTATTGAGGACTTGCTTGTTAAATTGTTTGAAATGTAAATGGCTAACCGTGATATCATTAAGGACATGACTCAGTAATTCTTAGTAAAACTGTTATATAATTGTGACCTTCATGCCTAGCATAACACCATATTATATTATTCGACCCTAGTAGGTATCAAGTCGACCTCCTGTCTCTACTTCTTCAAGATCAGATGCGTTACTTAGTGGTTACATATTTTTTATGTACTCATACTACGCTTCGGTACTTAATTGTACAGGCTGTGAGGCAGGTACATCTGGCTATCAGACCGGTGTGCGTCCCTAATACGGTGAGCTGCTTCCCTTCCTGTGCCGATCAGCAGCTTGATGGAGTCTCTCTTACTTTTGACTGTTTATTCTATTTCAGACAGTAGGATAGATCTATTATTTTATATATTCTACTAGTTGCCCACAGCTTGTGACACCAGGTCTTAGTACACACATTAGTAGACTATTCTTTTGGGTTGTATAACTACTACTGAATGTTGCTTATTATCTCATGTTTTAAATTTCAAATCGAGAAATTGTTGTAACTATTTTAGTTAAGTGAAACAAGAATTCACTAATATTTTCGCGTTAGCTTGCCTGACAACGGTGTTAGGCGCCATCACGATCTAAGGTAAAATTGGGTCGTGACAATCCTACTGCCTTCTCTGCTTTGCTAGGTTTTTATGATACCAAAAATGCAAAACTTGATTTGACAATCAAATACATAGATACAACAACAAAGTATGCAGAAGAAATCAAATCAAGCATTAGCACATAAAATAAAAGGGGAAAAAGAAAAATAAAACAAAGAGGACGAAAATAAAAATAAAAAAAAGAAATAATTTAATAATCGAATCAAAGAGGAAGACGCAGAAGAAGATAGCTCTGGTACTTTTTGGACTCTCTGATCGGATTGAAGAAGAAAACATGGAAGATGAAGAGCTTATGGAAAGAAAGCAGATGAAAGAACTCTGCAGAGCGATAAAAATAGGAGTAAAAGTCAAGTATACGTTGATAATCTAATATTCCTCTGAATACAAACACGTAAGTAGCTAATAGACGAAATGACTAAAATAGCCTTAACCCAGATTTTATTTCCTTTAAGAAGCCACATCGAAACGGTAGCTTTTCTAATCTACTAGTATTAGCACCCGCGCAGATGCGCGGACACTAACCATAATAAAATATAAACCTTCTCGATAAATATAGATAATCATTGGATATTAATTAAGAAACACTACATGAAAATGATTAAATATTTTTCAAATCTCCTAGTTATAATTCTATTTTTCCTTTTTAGTACCATTCTCGCCGGTGTCATTGGATCCAAAAAATAGCTAGGAAGCAAAATAATAACTCATATTTATGGCAAAATAATCAAAGGTTGAGACTATGAAGAACTTTGTGGATACGACTAGACTATTTTACTACTGCTTGAACTCTTATTTGGTGTGTTGATATATTCTAAAATTGTTTCTACTTTAAATTTTCAGTTTCTAAAACTTTATTTTTCAATAATAATTTTTTATAACAATGTAAGTGAAAACATTATCCTTAATTCAAACCTCATTTTAGTCGGCTATCTAAAATTTAAAAAATTCTTTAGCCAGTGATTTTCTATCTAGTATGACTCTATTTTGATATTTGACAATAACCATGTTAAATATGTAAGTAAAATTAACACCATAGTTAGGTGAGAACTAGCTACTTATAGGATTTCCGGAGCTCTCAGTATGAACTTTCCATCATATGCATCTTCATCTTCCTCACCAATTCCACCCAAACCACCTGACATCAATAAGAATTCCAAACCTTCTTCATCCATGCTACAACAATTAGAGAATGATATGAACATAGACACAACTCCAAACACACCTGTAAACAAATCATATCTCTCTACTCTGCTTTCCAATGATATCGCAACTCAAACATCCCCATTAACTGCCCCGATACACAAACCTGTGCTACTCACTGAAGAAATGGAAGCTCCAACAGACCCCAACATCTTTATCCCTCTATCCACAGGAGAAAAGGCTAGAATTTATAAACCAGGCAACATTCAGTTATAATAAAATTATATGGTAGGAAAATTGGGCATCAAATACTTAGGCAAAAAATATATGCCTTATGGAAACCAACTAAAAACCTACCTTTAATTGATTTAGGAGCTGATTTTTTCCTACTTAAATTCCCAAAGGAGGAATGTAAGCTTCATGCAATACACGAATGGACCCTAGTTTATTCTGAATCATTTTCTATCTGTTCGTCAATGGGAGCCAAGGTTCATGGCATCTGAATCAAGGATAAATTATTTGCTATTTGGTTACGCTTACCTGAACTACCAACTGAGTTCTACAACCTTCAGATACTGCAACAGGTGGGGAACAAAATTGGAAAGTTGTTAACGGTTGATACATGCACATCTTCAACAACAAGAGGGAGATATGCACGATTATGTGTTGAGGTACCGTTAGAACAACCATTAAAGACTCATATTTACATTGGCAATCACAAACAAATTATTCTGTATGAGGTATTAAATTTACTATGTACAAAATGTGGTCGAATCGGCCACAATCAAAGAGTTTGTACGTACATATCTAAGGAAAACAAAACTGATATCCCCTTGATGAATCAGCCTAGATTCACTAATCCTAGTTCTACTACTACAGCTACAAATACACAAAAAACAGCTGCATGGAAGACTGTGGAATTTCCTAAGAAGCAATCTAGAAAATTGACTTCCTACAATGGCAATCCTAACCAGGGAACTCCAGATTTGCCAGCAAATCACACGCATCACGCAGGTATGCATGGTAAGGATCCCAGGTTACTAATTACACCTAATACGTTACCTTTTACGAAATTGTCTATTAATCATCGTAACTCTTCTGCTAATACAACATACCCTCTTAACGCTAATACATTTGCTCAACTAGTACAAACTGTAACTAATGATGGTTACTTGTTAAATAATCAACCGACAAATACTAGTCAACCTCTTTCAACAAACACTCGAGTACAATTACCTACAACTACTACCTCAGCCCAAATGCAAGATTGGCACACAACCACACCTATCAAAACACATGCAATAAGCCACTTAGCCAATCCCCACATGCAAGGAATGTCGTCTTCCACTACCACTACTCACTCAGTTATAACACCAATTTCACAACAACAAAGAACCATTACAGACAAAACTGCTCAAATCGCCTTAAAGAGTGCAATATCCACGTCCAAAAACCCTACCCTATCTTCCATGCAAATAGGGCATCATGACAATCCTACTGTGTTCTCTACAGCTCCGTCAAACAAAGAAGCTACATCTTCATCAATCACACCGCCTAACTCCACCACTCACATTGTTGCGTCAAAAATTCAATGTCAAAATCCTGGACATATTAAATAGATCCAATCATCCCTCACTTCTTCAAATTCAAAGATGTATCCACAAACACTCACTCACTTAAGACATCCTTCGAACAACTCAAGCACGCAAAAATATCCACCATCTACAACACAACCTACATCCAACACCATACTCCATACCACCAGCACACTTGATCATGGAACCAAACACGTTGATTTACACTGCCCAGACTCCTCCATCAATACCAACTCCAGTGTGTTGGTTGGAGATAGGGCTCCAGAACCATGCACTAACGTTCACAATGGAGGTCAATCAACAAGAAGTGACCATACTCATCAACAACCCAAGGGATTTAGCACAGATAGTGGCAGAAGGAATGCAATTAGGGACGCACATGTTTGGGAGGTATCATTGGTCGATGATGCAAACCCCTCACCTTGCATCTTATCAACCTCTAAATCTACCAGTACCATATTGGGATCCCACACACCTCTATCCACACCATATTCATCTACCTTTCTACCCATCACCAACTCCACTAACCCCTTAGATTCAACCATACACTCTTCCAGAGCCACAGCTCCTTCTCTTGGAAGCAATAGCTCTACCACACACTCCAACACCAGCCCAGTCACCATCCCATCATCCTAACCCTCCCAATTCACTAGAACAAGATCACAACTTCCAGGCAGAACTAGACGCAGCGATCGTTTACAACAGAGAAACGCGACCAGTGCATGCATATCTAGATGGGATAAAAGTATTTGTCCAGAAGGAGGATTACGAAAGAAAAATCTACATATGGTGTCCTCAAAGGTTAATGAAGGCCTCACTTCGAATAAGGCCCACAACAAATCCAGTGGTAGGCAAATATGCCATGCTACTACTTCCCACATTTCGAGTGTATCCAGGAGAGAGCAGCAGTTGGAGGAATCCAAGTAGCAGTCATTTGTTCGAATCAGATAACAACACAATGAACTTCATAATTTGGAATTGTCGAGGGGCACAATCAGCTGACTTTAGAAGAACATTTAGGTCACTTCTGGACTATAATAGGACGTCTCTGGTGGTTCTTTTGGAAACCCATTATCAAAGTCATCAAACATTAAAGCAAGACTTCAATTTCAATGGTCTGATAGAGGTACCTGCCATAGGGCAGGCGGGGGGAATAGCCATCTTGTGGATTTCAAATGTTCTAAATGTGAAACCTGTGTCAACTACTGCACAGGAGATACATTGCCATATCCAGGTTCACCCTTTCCCTTTTAAGTTTCTATTTAGTGCCATCTATGCTAGTACTGACTTAGCAACTAGACAATCTCTTTGGTAAAATATAAAGTGTGTTTATGATAAGTACAAAGGACCATGGATTTTAGGAGGTGATTTTAATGAAGTAACTCATGCAACTAATGAATTTGGGGGTCTTCCCATTAGTCATTCACGTTCAAATAAATTACTAGACTGCTACAACTACTGCAATTTGAAGGATTTAGGTTTTAAGGGTAGTCGTTTTACATGGACCAATGGAAGACATAATGGTGCTAATATTCTTGAACGTATTGATCGTGTTCTGGCCAATTATAACTGGTTGAATCAATTCCCAGAGGCAATGGTAACACATCTCCCACGTACACATTCCAATCATTGCCCTATTAAAATTGAGCTGCAATATAGGCCTCTACCTCGAAAAAATATTTTTAGATTTGAAACTATTGGGGCAACACATCCTTCTTTTCCAAATGTTGTTAAGCAAGCTTGGTCAAATAATTTACATTTACTACCTGCTATAGATGAGTTTACTAATACCATGCATGACTAGAATTCTTCAACATTTGGTAATATTTTTAAGCAAAAAAGGAAACTCCTAGCTCGTTTAGGAGGTCTCCAATCTTCCATGCATTATCCAACTAGTCTTTTCCTCCAATATTTGGAACAACAATTGAAAAAAGAGTATAACCATATACTAAGATTAGAGGAAGATTTTTGGAAATTAAAATCACGCATAAATTGGTTAAATGATGGTGACGCAAATACAAAGTTTTTCTATTTAACCACATTAAATAGAAGAAGAAATAATAGAATAACCGCAATTCAAGACCAAGGGGGAAACTGGATTACAAGCCCCCATCAAATAAAGGAAAGTGTTATTCTGTTTTATAAAAATTTATTCACTACTACAAATATTGTTTCTTACCCAAAAACCAAAATCCTCCCTACCAATGTCCTAGCAAGAGAAAATCAGCTTCGATTAATACACCCTTTACAAGATGAGGAAATTATGAATTCAATACATTCGTTCCAACCACTAAAGGCTCCTGGATCAGATGGTCTACACCATCTTTTTTACCAGAAATATTGGGATACTATAGGTCCCTCTGTCAAATACTTTTGTCATAAGGCATTTCAAGATCATCAGATTGATCCTACAATCAACACAACTTACATTTGCCTTATTCCAAAAAAAATGACAATGCATCCACAATCTCTCAATACAGGCCCAAAAGCCTTTGCAATACAATCTATAAGGTTATTACAAAAATTATCATGAACAGGTTAGAACCAATCCTTCAACACACACCCTAGTCAGTCCAGTTTTCAGAAAAACAAAAGAGTTGCTGATAATGCTATAATTTTACAAGAAATCATTTGTAATTTTGAAAAAAACAAGGGTATCAATTTTAAAATGCTTCTTAAACTGGACCTAGAGAAAGCGTTCGATAAGTTTGAATGGTCTTTCATTCATCATACACTAATTTCTTTAAATTTCCCCCCTGATATTATTAAACTAATTATGTCCTGTATCACTACTGCTTCCACGTCAATTCTTATTAATGGTAATCCCACTGATTATTTTCAACCAACGAGAGGCATAAGACAAGGTGATCCCTTATAAGCCTATATCTTTATTCTATGTCTAGAAATGTAGTCACGAAAAATAAACAATGCAGTAGATTATATGGCATGGCTACCAATTTCATTAGCAAAAAAAGGACCTCAACTCTCCCATTTACTCTTTGCTGATGACATTATACTTACATCTCAAATCACTACTACAACGTCCCAATCAATTCTCAATACCCTCAGCCAGTTTACACGACAATCAGGCCAAACTATTAACTTTGAGAAATCAAAAATTTACTTCTCAAAAAATTGTTCAAACCCAATAAAACAAAGCATTCTTCAACTCTTTCATATGGAAGAAGGGAAAGGCTTTGGGAAATACTTAGGTTATCCCATCTTCATTAAAAAGCAATCAAAAAGGGATACCAGTTCCTACTTGATAATTTTAAGAGCAAGCTAGTAGGTTAGAAAATAAATTTTCTAACAAGGTCAGGTATAGCTACTCTAATACGTTCTACTTTAAACCAACTCCCAAATCATCTAATGCATTACATCAAATTACCTGCTTATCTTATTAACCACCTAAATCGATACCAAAAGAATTTTCTCTGGGGTACAACACCTCAAAAGAAAAAAAGCATTTGATTAAATGGTCTACAGTTACACAACCTATCCACCAAGGGGGGTTAGGTATACAAAACTTAAGTGTCAAAAACCAAGCACTACATGCAAGCCTTGCTTGGAGACTTTTTAATTATCCCCATCAACTATGGGCACATGTGCTCTTACATGCTAATTTGAGACCATCCCCCCTCTTCAAAGGCATAGGATCTAATACTTGGCGCAACATTATGAAAGGTTGGTCCTATTGCCTTCTAGGGTATAAGTGGAATCTCACCACTGGTCAACATGTTAGGTTTTGGACGAATCCATGGATCCTCCAAAATACCACCCTCACCAGCCACGTGGAAGGACCATTACCTAAATATGAGGAGAGGAAACTGGTCTCACATTATTATTATAATAACACCTGGCATTTGGGGAAACCTATAGCTTTACCAGCACATTTACAATCTCTAATAGCAAGACTTTACATGCCAATTACACATGTATTGCCTGATCAGATTTATTGGGCTATCACAGCCAATGGAATTTTTTCAACTAAATATATATACAACAACTTAATAAAGACAACTAATCCAACTAGCAATGATACATCTCAGTCCTACAGGTGGATCTGGAAACTTCATATTCTACCAAAATAAGTTTCTTCTTATGGTTAATGTCTCATGACAGACTCCCAACAGCTGCTTACCTTGCACGGCGAGGTATTATTCATTCAAACACATGCCAGCAATGTAAAACAGGCCCAGAAACAATTCTCCATATTTTTTGGGAATGTCCTCAGGCTAGACTAATCTGGACATCTCTAGGAATTCCAACTAAAACCCTCAATACTCCTATAACACATTATACCATTCATAACTGGTTGCACCAACTTGTCCACACACTGTCATTATCAACTCCTAAGAGTATTCCAAACACTAGACTTATTCCTTTTGCATTGTGGAATCTTTGGACAGTCTGAAATAAACATTTACTGGATAATCAAAAATGTCCTCTTGCTATTTATTTTATAATTAAAACAGCTGCTGAATATTATTGTCTCACAAATCCTCCAAAACGAGACACATATAAATTGAATATTGATGGATCCTGTTCCTACAGTAAGGGCCAATATGGTATTGGTGGTGTATCTAGGAGTGCCCAAGGACACTGGATAATAGGGTTTGCAGGACGAACACAAGAAGGTACAACTGAACAAGCAGAACTTCTTGCACTTCTCATGTGACTCAAAATAGCAGCAAAAATGACGATAAAGCCACTCATCATTGAAACAGATGCGCAAGCACTTATCGGTATGTTTAAATCACCTACAATCCAATATACTAACATTATCAATGACTGCAGGTCGTTACTTCAACAGCTGGATAGTCAATTTCTACATCATATCTACAGAGAGCAAAATGGTGTTGCTGACAGCTTAGCTACATATGGAGCAATGCATACAAAGGAGCACTGCTATCTTTTTGGGAGACCACCACTTTTTGCTATGCCCTCTTATCAGCAGGATCAACAGGGCTCGTTACAAAGAAGACTAGTTAAGAGTAGCACTACTGCTTCAGCACAATCACCTT